AATCACACAGTAAATAAATAGTTGAACCAGGATTGAAGCCCAAATTCTCTGACTCCAGATATTTTCTCTCCTTTGTCTCTCCACTAATCCAGATAAAGGAATTGGGCGAGGTGGGGGGGAGCTGCAGTCTGTGGGGTGGGGTGGGATGGATGGTCATGATCTCCAGGAGGTAGAGATTCCATGGGCTTTTCATGGGGAATAAAGGAGGACACGCATTTACTATGTGTCAGGCACTGGGCCAAGCACTTTTTACAAATATCATCTTATTTGATTCTCACAACAACTTTATTAGGTGGTAGGTGCCCATTTTATTAAATTATTAATTAAATTATCTCCATTTTACAGTAGAGGAAACTGAGACAAAGAGAGGTTAAGGGGCTTGCCCAAGGTCACACAGCTACTAGGTATCTGGGGTCACATTTGAACTTTTGTCTTCCTGCCTCCATCCCTGACTTACCTATCCACTGTACCACTAGTTGCTTAAATAAATTTTTTTAAAAGTATTTACAGGCTGTGAATGCTTACAGTTCTTTTTTTGGGCCTCCAAATGAAACATTTCCACAAACACTCAATGGTAGATTGGTAGGGGTGAGAGTGAAGCGTGTGTCTTTGGTTTGTGGAAAGAGCTTTGACCGAGAGTTAGGAAGTCAGGCTTGCCGTCCTGGCTCCACTAACTGGTTCTGACATGGCACTTCCTCAGGGCCTCAGTTTCCTCATCTGTAAAATAGAGGTTTTGGATTTCATAATACCTAAGGTGCCTTCTACTTGCTTTTATGTTCTGTGGAAACAAAGCATTTATGGGAGAGTGCTGGATTTGGGGACCAAAGGCCTATGTTGGAATCTTGGCTCCTGACACTTGTGGGACCTTGGGGGAGTAACCTGACTTTCCCTGGGCCTCAGTTTCCTCATCTATAAAATAAGGGAGTTAATCTTTGAGGTCCCATTCGGCTCTGTATTTATGATTTTTATATATTCAGTCACTAGGTTTTCATTCTCCTTTTGTTTATCCATCATTTTCTTTTTTTTCTTTTATTAATTTATTTGGATTTATCAACAATCACTTCCATATGCTTTTCAGTTTAAATTTTTCTCCCCCTTCCTCCCCACCACCCTCCCCAAGACCATGCACAATCCGATAAAGGCTATATATTTACATTCCTAGTAAACATATTTTCACATTAGTGATGTTGTAAGTAAACATTAAAACTAATAGGAGGAACCATCAGAAAGAGGAAACAAAACTCAACAGAAGAAAAAAAATAGCAATTCAGCTTCCGTAGTTCTTTCTTTGGATGTGGATAGCATTTTCCATCATGAGGCCTCTGGAGATGTCTTAGATCCATGTATTGCTGGGAAGAGCTAGGTTTATCAATATTAGTCATTGCACAATGGGGCTGTTATTGTGTACAATGTTCCCTTGGTTCTTCTCATTTCAGCATCAGACTATACAGGTCTTTCCAGGTTTTTCTGAAGTCAGCCTGTTCATCATTTCTTATAGCACAAAAGTGTTCCATTACATTCATATGCTACAACTTGCTCAGCCATTCCCCAATTGATGGGCATCCTCTCAATTTCCAATTCTTTGCCACCACAAAAAGAGCTGCTATGAATATTTTTGTACGTGTGGGTCCTTTTCCCATTTGTATGATTTCTTTGGGATATAGCCCTAGCAGCGGTATTGCTGGGTCAAAGGGTATGCACATTTTTATAGCCCTTTGGGCATATATCCATCATTTTCTGTAGTGCATTGTACCCTCTTGGTTAGTCTATCTGTCCTGTGATATTTTTAAAAAAATTATGCTTGGGGCAGCTAGGTGGAGCAGTGGATAGAGCACCCGCCCTGGAGTCAGGAGGACCTGAGTTTGAATCCAGCCTCAGACACTTGACACTTACTAGCTGTGTGACCCTGGGCAAGTCACTTAACCCCATTGCTTAGGGGGGAAAAATTATGCTTATATATTTAGGAATTTCTGTGGTGAAGATGCCATAGCTTCCCTTCATTCTCTTGTCCTGGTGTCACTAAAAGCAGTGGGAAGTTCTTCCCCTTGTTTCATGTTAGTGGGCCTGCCTGCTCTGACTCTGGCTTATTTCCTCGGTACAGAAGGATAACAGCTAGGTCTTGATAATACCCATTCAGAGACTCAAAGCCTGTTATTCAGTCTCCTTCCTCCCTCCTAGCCTTCCCTTCTCTGAATCATACCAGTTCCTGTAAGTTAGTAGAGAAGAGATGAGATAACCCATTTTTTTCTGAGAGAGTTCATGGAGACCTGGAGAATTATTGCTTTTTTTTATTTGAAGGATGGAGAGAGATATCTATATACCTATATATCTATATCTATACACTCATATATAAATATATACATATACACATAAATATATATACATATACATAAATACACATGTAATTTTTTAATTTTTAAAATTAATTTTTTTTCCTTAATTACATGCAAAAAATTAACATTTGTTTTTTAAAAAATTTTATTTCCAAATTCTCTCCCTTGCTTCCTCCCCTTAAGAAGGCAAGCATTTTGATCTAGATTATACACGTAGTCTGTAAAGCATTTTGATATTAGCCATGTCTGCAAGGATATTTAAAAAAACTTTTTTTATCTGTTTTCTCTCCTACTCTCTTGTCCCAGTGAGGGAGAAGTAAAAACAAAACCTTTGTGACAGATATGCACTGTCAAAGCAAAACCACGTCTGTCATTGGCCACGTTTAAAACATCTGTGTCTCCATGTGCTCCCTAAGTCAGTGGCCTCTTTGTCAGGTGCTGGGTAGCATGCTTCATCAGTGGCTCTCAGCTTTTGTATTTGGTGGCTGGCAAAGATATCCTTCATGCATTCCAAAAGTTTTCCAGCTGCTCACAGATCTAGAGCAGGAATGCTTCTTAGAGTTTTGAGTTTATCTAGTCTAGCCTCCCAGTTTTTACAGATGAGGAAGCTGTATCCCAGTGAGGTAAAGTGACTTGCCCAAAGTCACACAGGTAGAAGCAAATGGCGGAGATGAGGTTTGAAGCCAGATCCAAGGACTTGTACCATGGTGCCTTTTCTGAGGGCTGGTCCCTACAAGCAGAGCTCTGTATTAAAGCCATGCACCATCATCAGAAGGGCTGAGCAGGGCAGAGGGTGGTTTTATAAGGGTCCTAGAAATAATTCCTGTTAGGAGTGGTCACTGGAGTGGCTCAGGGACTTCTCAGGTCTTTTCCTGGCTCCTTAGCCCATTTTCATAACTAGGGTGGGAGTTGTGTGGGTGGAGGAATATAGACACAGGGGAGAACGTCCTTTTTTGATGGAAGTAGCATTGGGAAACAGAATCCAGGAGCCCAGGACCTCATCCCAGTGACCTTTTCTCTGCTCCAACCCCAAAGCCTTTGCCCAGCTCAGGTAGACTTTCACCTGATGGGAAGGTCATTAATAACTTCCTTCAAGTCCTCAGTTCTCTGCTCCACCCTGGTCAGTTCAAATCCTAGAGTGAGAGCTAATGGGCCACGTGGTGCTGTTGTGGACCATGGAGAGATTAGGCATGAGCATGGCATCCTTGTGTCTTCTCCAGGGTGGTTGTGTGTGGTCACATGGCTTTGTTATAGTGTTGCAGTGACTATGACTTCCATGTCAGAGAGAGAGATGGAGAGATAGAGACACAGAGAAAGAAATGAGAGGCTCTAAATCTCTGGGCCTTAGACTACCTTGGATATCTAATTCCTAATTGGTCTCCCAGTCCATCCTTCCCACAGTTGCCAGACTGTATTCCTAAAGCACAGTTAGGATATCATTCCCTTGCTCAGGGAGCTTAGATAGTTCCCTGCTGCCTCCATGATAGCATAGACTAATCTGTTTGGTTCTCTAGGTATCCTAGGTACAACCCTAAGTAAAATTGTAGGTTCTGTACCCCAACCATGCCACTACTGACACACCCAGATTCAGAGGTAATGGGAATGTCTGCCCAACCTTAGCTTAGCTCAAGCTTAATGTGAAAATTACTCATGGAAACAGACACCGCCCCCTCCAGTCCCACCCCCACATGCCTGTCAGTTGAGTCACATCTGTTATCTGAAGAAACCAGAAAGTCTTGTCCCTGTCCTACCCTTCCCCATATGCCACGATCTCTCACCTAGCCCCAGGCCCCTCAGTTCTTCTTTCCCCCAGCTGCCCCTTCATAGGTCCCTCCATTCCCTTCTCTCATAGCCCCCCTCCCCAACCAGGGCCTCTCCCACTCTGAGCCTGGATGACTTATTTTCTGAAAGCTGCTTCTCCTCTTCTTTCTGCTAGGCTAAGAGTCCTGGCCCCACCTCAGGCCTGGCTCCCAGCCCTGCAGTTCTCTGCCAGTTGCTGTGGGGGCTGGGCTGACCCCTTCAATGGGCCCCAGCTAGCTCTGGGATTCACTGCTTCCCTAGGCCGGAAGAAACTGTGACTTAACTGTGGCCATCCACCAGTTTCCATAAAGCCCTGCCCTAAAACTGTGTGGTGTTAGAAGGTATTTTTTAACATCCAAATAAAGTGATTTCATTGACTCAGTGACTGTCATCTCATACCACTGATGTTCAGGAATTTTCCACACTTTACCTCAGTCCCTCCTTTTGCTATCCTTCCTGCCAACCCAGAAAACTGCTTGGTACAATAAGTGAGGCAGGCCCAGAGAGAGCTGGAGAGGAGTAAAGAACTGGGGAGTCGGGGACTTTGGGAGAGAGGATTTGGGACTTGGGGGAAGGGATTAGGAGTGAGGGTTAGGGTCTTTGGGACCAATGAGGAGGAGGCTAGGGAGACCACTGAGGCACGTAGTCTAGAAAAGATAAGCATTTGTGTGTGTGTGTGTGTGTGTGTGTGTGTGTGTGTGTGTAATCTAAAGGTTCTGTCTACTTATGAAGACAAAATTGTGAGAAGGGATTTGCAATGTCCAACTGGAGGACCCCACTACAGAGGAAAAGCATAGTGGGGAGAAAAAGACAAGCCAGGTGGGGTTGGATACTAATGATTTCTTTCCTTGTTTCTCTCCACTGTAGGTACAGGAGGCTGAGGCCCCCTCAATCTTGAACAACCATGTCAAACCCCAGTGCTCCACCTCCATATGAAGACAGAAACCCCCTTTATCCTCCTCCCCCAGCAGGGGGAGGTTATCCTGGGGGAGGTTACCCTGGGGGTTACCCAGCATACCCCCAGCCAGGCTTTGGACACCCAGCTGGATATCCTCAGCCTATGCCTCCCATCCATCCAATGCCCATGAACTTTGGTAAGCTGGTGAGGGGGATGGGAGGATGAGTATGGAAACAGTCAATGTCTCCAGCTGCATCTGTGGCTTCATTTAGTCAAATGCTTGTCTTTTTTGTTTTAGTGAGGCAATCAGGGTTAAGTGTGACTTGCCCAGGGTCACACAGCTAGTATCAGTATCAAGTGTCTGAGGCCGAATTTGAACTCAGGTCCTCCTGACTCCAACGTCGGAGCTCTATCCACTTTGCCACCTAGTTGCCCCCTTCATTCAGACTGTCATCTATGTCTTTGTTTTTTTCTCTTCCTTTTTTCTTCCCTCTCCTCTTTCCCTGTCTTCCTTTTTCTTCTTTTCCTATCTCTTCTCCTCAAGTCCCCTTCCTTTCTAGGCTAGAGCTGCTACTTTGTGGGCAGGTGTGCCTCCCCACAATCTCAGCCTGTGCTCATTGTGGGCAGCTTTCTACATGTTCTTTGTAAAGATTGCAGTCTCTTTACTTCCAATCCACAAATGTCTGTTGCACACCTATTGTGATTATACATTAGTAGTCTGTAGTGAGGATGTGATAAGTGCATAGAAGATCAGAAAGAAAAGCATGAGAAACTCAAGGAGGGGGAGGGATCATGTTTAGTGATGGCCATAGATTAAAAAAAAAATGGCAGGGGTAGCTGAGCTGGGTCATGAAAGAAGAGAAGAATTTTGACAGACGAGATATAGGTTGAGACCATTCTAGGATGAAATAAGGGAATGAGAAATAGTTGGTTTGCCCAGGACAGCGTATGTGAAAGACAGTGCAGTCTTCAAAACCTAGAAAATTTTTTAAGTTGGAGCCAAATCTGACAGGGGTTATATCTTGATTTTTTTTCTATCACTTTCCTCATGATACCTAGTTAAGAATAAGTGCTTGGGTCACCTGATACATGTGGCTGCTTACTTACTCCATAAAAGCTTTCTCAGACTGAGCAGAGGAGAGGTGATCACCAGCCTCCCATAGGTGCCCCATCCCTTCCTTCAAGACTGTAACCCATAATGTACCTGCTTTTAACATATGTACAACACATAACTCTTAGGAAGACTGATGTAAAAAGCTGTAACTTCTGTGGCGGGGTGGAAAGGATCCAGGAGACTTAGTAGTAGCTTGATGATTGCTGGGCTTTCACATATTCTGAGCCTCAGTTTCTTCATCATTAAAACTGGGGTAAGAATTCAATTTAATAAACATTTAATTAGGCACTAACCCAGTCCAAGACTAGGTGGGCTTGTTTAGGATAATAAGATTAAAAGGAATTTTTCAAGCCCTTATGCTTTCTTTTTAACTGGCCTAGCTGGGGGTTGTGAGGAGAGGAGAGGCTTTGTCCAATTCTGATCTCCAAAAACAGAAGATAACTATTATTCAAAGTTATCCCCCTAGGAAATTGTGAATTTCTTTCTCCTCTCCTTTCATTTTCACTCCCCCCCCCCACTTTCCTTGAGAAATGCCTCAGGCCCCTCTGGGATTGCATAATCTCCTTCCTTTGAGGTTGGATCACTTCACACCTTTGGAAACTAAATAGAAGACACTTGGAGGGAGTCTGATAGATTCAATTCAGAAAACCTGTGGTGGTTAACAAAGAACTGTACTAAACTACCTACAGAGGCCCCATCCTCCCCTCCCCTGTCCCACTGGGCAAAACAGCATGTTTACAGATAAATAGATACAAAATTGATTACAGAGCAAGTTCAGATCTGCATTGGTAGATTATACTAATGACGTCAGAAGTTCAGGCTCCTACTCCCCTCCCTCCCCAAAAAAGGCTCCTAAGTAATTCGGAGAGTAAAGCAGCATTAATAGCTGAGGGATCTACCATGGCTCTTTTTATAAGGTTTTCTAGGTACTTCGCAAATATTACCTCATTCGATCCTCACAATAAGCCAGGAAGATAGAAGCTATTATTGTCCCAATTTTACAGATGGGGAAACTGAGACAAACAGATGTTAAGGGACTTCCCCGGAGTCATACAGCTAATAAACTCCCAAAGAGTTTTTTTTTTAAAAGGGAACAGTTGAATCTATTTGTAGAAAATATTCGTAGCAGCCGTTTTTTGTGGTGGCAAAGAATTAGAAATAGAAGTGATGTTCATCATTTGGGGAATGCCTGAACAAGTTGTGGTATATGATTGTGATGAAACACTATTGAAGATATGATGAGTAGGATGATTTCAGAAAAACCTAGATAGATTCACTTGAACTAATACCAAGTGAAGTGAGCAGAACCAGGAGAACATTGTACATAGTAATAGCGATATGGTATGATGAAGAACTGTGAATGACTTGGTTATTCTTAGCAATAGGTGATACAAGACAGTCCCAAAGGACTTATGAGGAAAAATGCTGTTCACCTCCAGAGAAAGAAATGATTGGAGTCTGAGTGCAGATCAAAGCATACTGTTTCGTGCTTTCTTTATTTTTTGTATGTTTTTTGTCTGTTTTCTTTCACAATATGACCAGTATGGAGAAATATGTTTTGCATGATCACATATTTATAACCTACATCAAATTACTTGCCTTCTCAATGAGGGGGAGGGGAGGCAGTGAGGGAGGGAATTTGGAACTCAAAATTTAAAAAGAAAACTTAAAAATTGTTTTTGCATGTAAGTGAGAAAAAATAGTAAAAAAAAATATATTGTTAAGGGGGAAAAACAGCTGAAGAGTATCAAGAAGTCTTTCATCTCAAAAGGAAATGGTACCTCAGATCAGCCTTTGGAGGCTGTCCAAGAGAGTCCAAGGCAGCTAGGGATTGTAAGAGCTGGGAGTGAGGAGGGAGGACAGGCGTTGGGGATTGGCAGCCCATAAGAAGGATGGAGCCAGGAGGAGCTAGAATGTCATGTAAGAGGAGCAACAAGCAGGCCAGTTTGGCTGGAACGTAAAAGTTGTGAGGGGCAGTAATATGGTACCAACCTAGAAAGATAAACTGGAGACAGGTTGTGAAGGGTTTTAAATCCCAAACAGAGAAGTTAGTATTTTTTTTTCTCATGGAGGCAATAGGGAGCCACTGAAGCTTCTTGAGGCTCTCCCTATAATAATAACATAGAACTATGCTTTAGGAATATCACTTTGGTAGCTGTGTGAAGGAAAGACTGGCAGGAAGACCAGTTAGAAGGCTATTGCAGTAGTCTTCAGAGAGAGGTTCTTGATTTAGGGCAGAGGCTTTGTTGGAAGGGGATGGATGTAAAAGGGCTATGGACCTAGAATTGATATTCAGTCTTTAGCTTCAAGGTAGTCTACGATTATGCATACTTTCTAACACAATATTAATAAATAGTCCTTCAAGCAAAACCCAGCATTTCTACAGTGCTTTGAGAGTGAAGTAGATCCTGTAGGCACTATTATTCCCATTTCACTGATGAGGAAACTAATTCAGAGAGTTCATGTTCTACCAGACATGGTCACATGGCCAGGAAGTATAAGAGTAGGAAATAACAACTCGTATTTATATGGCTCTTTTTATAAGGTTTGCTAGGTACTTTACAAATATTACCTCATTCGATCTTCACAATAAGCCAGGAAGATAGAAGCTATTATTGTCCCAATTTTACAGATGGGGAAACTGAGACAAACAGATGTTAAGGGACTTACTTCCCTGGAGTCATACAGCTAATAAACACCTGAATCTCAGATTTGAACTCAGGTTTTCTGACTCCAGGTCCAACGCACTGTGTCACCTAACCAGGCTTAGCCCAAGTCTCTCCTGACCCCAGGTTTTTCCACTGTGCCTTACTTGTTCTGATATTCTGATACCTCTCTGTTCTCCCCACCTCACAACCTTCTCTGGCCAAATTAAAAGCCCCTTCAACATCTGGACATTTCCTGGCGAGTTCTACCTCTTCAGAAATTTCCATTAAATACCAGTGCAAAAAGTGCTGCTGGGAATGCTCCAGGCCAAGCAATTCAAACCAAGATCCTTATCAAAAAAAAAACCCAAAACAACCCAAAACAACCTTGGGCAGGTCTAGTCAGCACACTGAAGAATACACTGTTGCTATATATAATAGAAATCCCTTGATAGCATTGACAACCCATCGAATATGCCATTGCTATCAATTGGAATTCCCAAACATTTATGAGATATCTTTAATTAGAATTGCATCAAAGCCCAATTCCTAGCTTATTATTTTAATCAAATCTAAACTTAAAATTATGACTGGTGATTTTTGGTGAGTTCTGCTTTTATCTGAACGCAGAATTCACATATCCCTTAACTCCTTGTGTGAAAAAAAATTTTTCATATAGACAAATTGATGCACAAAATTTCCTAAATCCAGCCTTCTATAATTAATTTTGTGCTGAAACGTAACACTTTAGGTAGATGTAAGAAAATAAAGAATAAGAATGTTTGTAATCTGCATCCCTGGGATGGTGTTGTACGTGTCTGTGTTGGAAGTAGTTTTGGCATCAGTACCTGATTCAGGCCTCCATAGTTATACCTGTAGATTGCGTCTTCCATACCTCCCACTTTGGGTGGGTAGGGGAATCTGAGTCATTTCTAGAATCAGCCTCATTCTTCCAGTCCTGGTTTTAAGACCCACTTTCTCCACAAAGCCTAACTCAGTTTCTCTAACCTACAGTGATCTTTTGCTTGTAAGTCCTTTTACAACATCAAGTGATGACCTCAAAAATTAGATTTAAATGGTTAGTTATTTTCTAATTATTTTTAGGCCAGTCTCTCCAACTAGATTGTAAGCTCCCTGAGGGAAGGGCTGCCCTTATTTACCATGCTGGGCACTTGGTAGAGGCTGAGGATCAAATAAGATAATGTGTGTAAAGCACTTTGCAAACTTTTAAGGACTAGCTGTTATTGTTATTAGATAAGGTGAGGGGTGTTTTTTTGGATAGGGATCTTGGTTTGAATTGCTTGGCCTGGAGCATTCCCAGCAGCACTTTTTGCATTGGTATTTAATGAAAATTTCTGAAGAGGTAGAACTCACCAGGAAATGTCCAGATGTTGAAGGGGCTTTTAATTTGGCTAGAGAAGGTTGTGAGGTGGGGAGAACAGAGAGTAAGTAGTTGGGAATCTGTGGTCTGAGGGCATATCTCAGCCCTCAGATGACTTGAAGGGACTGTCCCTACAGGCAGAGGTGAAGTCTATGGAGGAGAGGAACCAGCAGTGAGTGACAACTTTGGGACTGGAGAATGGGAGGACAAGAAGGTCCGACACCGCTTCATCCAGAAGGTAAGAAGACATTGTGTCTCCTTTGTGGGCCCAAGGGAGGAGCTACCTTATTCCTGCTCATTTGCATAAGCTACCATCTTACAAGCATGTAAATCAATGCCATCCTGCACCAAAATTCCTGTTCCTTCTCCCTTCTGTTATTCCCATCCTCCTGGACCTTGTCAAAAATCCAATCTAGACAAAATGTTTGGCCTCTCCTGACGTTTTTAGTCTCCCCACCATAGCACATTTCTCTTTTTTTTTAATTAATTTGTTTTGATTTATCAACAATCACTTCTATATGCTTTTGAGTTTCAAATTTTTCTACCCCTTCTCCCCACCACCCTCCCTGAGACGGCGCACAATCTGATGTAGGCTATAGGTTTACATTCCTATTAAACATATTTTCACATTAGTGATGTTGTAAGTAAAAATTAGAACCAATAGGAGGAACCACCAGAAAGAGGAAACAAAACTCAACAGAAGAGAAAAAAAAATAGTCAACAGTATGCTTCGATCTGCATTCAACTTCCACAGTTCTTTCTTTGGATGTGGATAGCATTTTCCATCTAGAGGCCTTTGGAGATGTCTTAGATCCTTGTCTTGCTGGGAAGGGTTAAGTTTATCAGTATTAGTCATCACACAGTGTAGCTGTTATTGTGTGCAACGTTCTCTTGGTGCTGCTCACTTCATTCAGCCCCATAGCACATTCTTCAGGATAAGAACTACGTACTGGGGAAGGGCTTCTGGTCAAGGGCTTCTGGTCGTAGGAGTGGTTTCTCCTCAGATGACCATCTCACCTTTGATCTGTGTTTCAGGTTTATGCCATCATCTCAATCCAGTTGCTCATCACAGTTGGCATCATTGCTCTTTTCACCTTTTCGTGAGTCTCTGAGGCTTCTTACCCACTTTTCTTACTCGCCTCCCCTAGTTCCTGAGTTTCTGGGGATTTTGGCCTTGAGTAGTCCCCCAGTTGGGGAGGGAGGCAGATTTTTTCAGGAAGAGGGAGAGTGATTGAGGGTTAGAGATTTGGTGCAGAGGCCACAAGGGAAGTGGTTGTACATTGTCCAGGGCAGGGCTGTGCTGACTCTCCTGGTCCTCTTTCCCGTTCCCTCACCACACAGGGATCCTGTTCGAGCTTTTGTGAGGAAGAACTTGGCTGTCTACTATGCTTCCTAGTGAGTATGCTTTCTTTCCTAGGCTCAAGGTCAGGTGAGTGGGGGGAAGAAAATTCATGGGGCAAGATAGTATGACGTCAAGTTTCAATCTACGGGTGTGCCCCAGATTATTATCCATCTCACCACCTAGCTTTTTGAGTGGTTTTATAAAATCGTCATTGCCAGGGCTTGGTCTTCAGTTCTGCTAGTAGATGGGAGTATGTGGCTGTTCTGTCTCTAAGGAAGAAGATCTGGAGTGGCGTTCAAAGAACAGTCCTGTAGGCCACTGAAAAATGGTCACCAGCCACATTTGGCCTATCTCCATTGTGCTAATCCTTCTTCCCCCAGTCCCGTGACAGAAGTTTTGAATAGTTTCTAATTGGCAGTCTCATTCCTCTGGCCACTGTCTTCCCACAAACAGATTTCTTATTTTCCAAACAGCTTTCCGCATCGCAGCCCTGTGGAACTAGTGAGGGCTAATGCATTGTACTGGGGTGTGGGCTGGAGGGGGAGTAGAAAAAGCACAAGATGGAAAAAACAGACTGCTACTCATTTTTTCCTGTAGTGCTGTCTTTCTGGCTACATACCTGACCCTTGTCTGCTGCCAGGCACCCAGGTGAGTCCTTAGGGTTTGGGGAAAGTGTAATAGTATGTGTGTGTTGGGGGGAGGTAAGGGTAGCAGAGAGTATAATCTCTGGAATAGAAGGGGGCGCAAGATAGAAAGGTGGTAGGGGTTGGTGAACGGATAATCAGATATGAGAAATGAACCTTGGCCCCACCCCAGGCTTATCCCCGCATGGACTATGGAGACCTGCTTTTGTTGGGAAAGCTTGTGCCTGATTCCTGACCCCTTTTCCTCTTCCATGCCAGGCGCCGGTTCCCATGGAACATCATCTTGTTGACCATCTTTGTGAGTCTAGAGAAGGAGGATAGGGTGGGGGAGGGGAGTCTGGGAGGGTTGGACCGGAAGATGAAGGGGAAAGGTTGGCTTCTGTGCAGTGCCAAATGGGAGAGGTGTTTTGAAGAGGGCCTCTTGTGTTTGCCACCACCCCTGTTGGCTACCTCTTCTCATATTACCTGGTGATTACCTAGCTTTGGTGATCTGGAGGTCATTTGTCTCTCCCTACCTCTCATGTCTTAGATGCCTTATTCTCTTCTTGGTCTCTTTTTTAGACCCTAGCAATGAGCTTCATGACTGGCTGCATAGCCAGGTATGTATATTTGGGTAATAGCCCCAACCCGTTACCCTTGGAAAATGTATGGTTGGGGATGTTAGCTTGAGGATCATGGCTCATATAACCCATCCCTAGGTGGCAGAGAACAGTGTCCAGCCCCCTCTATAAATACTGCTGGACTTCTCCCACTGCCTTATATAGGGAGTATAACATTTCCCACATTATTTCCTGTTGAATTTTCTTTTTTCACAATGACATGGTAGACCAGGAATTATTTAATTTACACGAATAGGTCAGTCTTTTGGTCAGTAATCTTTCTCTTCCCACAGTATGCATAACACTAAAGCAGTCATCTTGGCCATGATTATCACTGCCATCGTCACCATTGCTGTCACCATATTCTGCTTCCAGACCAAGGTGAGGGCATTGCACTTTCATCCCTTGGGCTCCAAGATGCACCTTTCCTTAAGCGTATTCACTCCATCCCCCTGAACCGAGGTCGAAGACAGTTAAGGACTGTGGGGATACAAGGGGAATCCATTTCTCTACAGTCATAAGATTTCCCCCCTTCTCTCCCCTAATACCCAACCACTCAACTTTTCTTCCTCACTCCTCTGTGACATACGGTACAGATATGGAGGCTGAGGTAGTATTCATGTGAATTCATGGTGAGGGTGGTCATTTAATTGTCTCTTCTTTCTCTTTCCTTTGGCAGGTGGACTTCACATCCTGTGCAGGGCTCTTCTGTGTGCTTGGGATTGTGTTGACAGTGACTGGGATTGTCACTGCTATTGTGCTAGCTTTCAAATATGTGAGTATGATTGTCCTCCCTTGCTAAGGCTAAGGATTCCTGGGCTCCAGAATAGGCCTTAGGCACTGGTGGCCTGTTTGTTGTGAATTTCAGATGTTAAAAATAATCAGGAAGTTTTTATAACTGATAAATTGCTTGCCTTCTTAATGGTTGGGGGAGGAGTTGGAGGGAGAGAATTCAGAACTCATTTTTTAAAAAAATGTTAAAAATAAATAATTCATTTTTTTTTATCTGGAAGTTTTAGGAAGGCATCCCTCCACCCAAACCTTCTTCATTGGCCTGCCATAGTCTTTCTTTTTTTTGTCTCCTTCCCGGCCCCCTCCCCCCACCATGGGGTTAAGTGACTTGCCCAAGGTCACACAGCTAGTAAATGTGAAGTGTTTGAAGCCAAATTTGAACTCTCCTCCTCCTAACTCCAGGGTTTGTGCTCTATCCATTGTACTACCCCCATAGTTTCTTTCTTTTTTTTTCAATTTTTTTTTTAATTTTTTGCTAGGCAATGGGGTTAAGTGACTTGCCCAGGGTCACACAGCTAGTAAGTGTTATGTGTCTGAGGCCGGATTTGAACTCAGGTCCTCCGGACTTCAGGGCTGGTGCTCTATCCACTGCACCACCTAGCTGCCCCTACCCCCATAGTTTCTTAAAAGCCATTATTAGAGGTTTATTTCTTTGGATTTAAGACAATCTTGGTTTAAAAAATACAAAAGGGAAATTAAACTTACCAGTAATGCTGTAGTGGGAAATAATTTGGATTAGCTGAGTTAGCTGAGACAAGGTGTTGGATTGTGGTGGCACTGGGAAGAAAGGTCAGAGCCTTCGGAGGTCAGACTTGGGTTGGAGGACCCTAAGCTGGCAGGTTTACCTGAGGGCACAGGACCTATGGGAGGAGGGGCACCTCAAGAGGGGAAGCTGGACACTAGGAGAGAGGTGGTAAAATAATGAGACACACTGGGTTTGGAATGACTGGAAAAAGATCCATGTCTGTTAGGGAGAAGTAAGGCCCTCCCCTTTAGGTCTGTGGCCCTATCATCTGGAGAGGGGAAGTGATTTGGTAATTGGTGGGGGGCTGGCTTCTCCTCTCACACCTCCCACCAGACCACCAGGCCCTTAACTCATACCCTTTGCTTCTACAGGTCTACTGGCTCCATATGCTGTATGCTGCCCTCGGGGCTATCGCTTTCACTCTGGTGAGTGGCCCTCCACTTCTTCCTCCCTAGGCCCCAGGGCCCAGACAAAGGCTCCTGCTTTATTGCTTCTTGTACAGCACACCCATCCAGTCCCCGTGCCCTGGCCAAAGCTGTGCCCTACTCCAGGAACACATTTCCTCTTTGTCTCAGCCTACCTTCCTTCCAAGGCTTGGTTCAGACACCACCCCCTCCCGGCAGCCTTTCCTCATCCTCCAGTCCTAAATTACTTAATTTACTTCGAAGACATTTTCTGTTCACTCCTCTATTTGCGTTATTTCTCTCAACAGAATGTAAAGCTCTTTCCAGGAAAAAGCTGTTCTGTTTTTTATCTCCAGTGCCTGGCACATAGGAGACACTTTGGTGACTGGGGGAAGGGGGTTCCCTATGCTTGTGGGGTAGGGTCATGGGAAGGGACAAGGGATCCTCATTATTGCTCTCCTCTCTGCAGTTTCTGGCATATGACACACAGCTGGTCTTGGGGAACAGGAAGCACACCATCAGCCCAGAGGAGTATATCACAGGTGCCCTGCAAATCTACACGGACATCGTCTACATCTTCACCTTTGTGCTGCAGCTTCTGGGGGATCACAATTAAGGGGGCCTCTCTTCTTGCCCATGCTCCTTCTTTGCTTTCTCTTTCTGGGTTGGCCAGTTACTGCCGTGGCCCTTTTCTCTCAGTAACTTCCCCAGGAAAGGTTTTACATGTTGCTGGTGAGATCTGGTGGGGGCAGTCCTGTCGGGGGCTTGTCTTAGGGAGGGACATGCTGGACTGGAGAAGCCAGTGAGTGACTCTCTTCTGACTGGTCTAAGACTGAATCCGAGGTTTCTTCTCCTTTTTGTCAATACTGCCCTGTCAGAGATCACTCTGTCTCGGTAACTAAAGGGAAACAAGGTGCAGGGATATTTCAAGGAAATGTGATGCCCATTCTCTGCAGGGGATTCCATACTGAGCTGCTATCTACAGTGCCCTTCCTCTCTGGCATTTTCCCCTATGGGATTGGAGAATGGGGTCAGTGCCTACTCTTTCTCTTGCACTAGACTCCCAAAATCCTGTCGTTTTCTTAGTTTTCCCCTCGCCCCCACCACCCAAATAGTTCTTCCCCTTTACCCTTTGTACAGACATGATCCAATGATGTGTATATATTGTTTAGTGGGAATTGGGCACCATCTATAATAGTGCCCAGCCCTGGCCTACCTACCATAAACCTTGACCTCTGCCTAAGGCTAGAAGGCAAACCTCAGTCTCTACCCATCTCCACCTGGCTCCTTCCCATCACCCCAGTCCTGGAATTATTTCCAGAAGGGTGTTTGGCCAGTGGGAGTGGGGGTAGTTTCTTCTTTGACCTTCATCTCTGGCATCCTAGACTTGACAGTGAAGGGATGTGTAGTATGAATGGGAATGGGTTGATAGCGTGACAGGTGCCCCACCCCCACTGGTGGGGCCAGTGACCCAAATGTAGGCAAAATATGGAGCTGGCAGGGATACAGACAGAGCTGGGGTTGAAAGATGCTCTCCAGTTTATTCTCTGGGCCCTGCTGCGACCTACAGAACATCCCAGCCTTAGGCTTCTCACAGAATTTTAAACCGGAAGGAACACCCTTCAGCTATTCTAGGGTAAGCCCTCTATTATACACATGAAAGATCTGAGGCCCAGAGGTAAAATGTTTGCATTAGACCTCACAGAGTGGTAGAGCTACCACTAGAACCTGGCTGTTTGCTCATACCATCCCTTAGTTTTGGGGTGGCTGCTGGGGGTGGAAGATAGGGCCCCCTCCCCTTGCCTTCTCCCTCAGGATGGTTAAAGTTGAATCCCCCATCGGCACCTCCCTTCCCTGCTCCTAAGGGCAGGAAACCACTGGCTAAGCTTTTAACACCAAGTGCCTTATGAGGGAGGTAGGGACTTGAGGGACAGTGTTCTCGACTTTAGCCCAGCACAAGGGTCAAAAAAGGGCTTCTGTACATGATCTTTCCGGAGTTTTGAGCACCACAGAGTTGTAACAGGAAATACAATAAAATTCTATGTTAGAAACTCAATGTCTGTTTCTGGTTCTTGAGGTGGGGGGGGGGTGCTAGCTACCTTATTCCTCTTGTGGCTCTCACCCAGGTTACAAGCCTCCTAGCTTGTCACTGCCTTAAGTCCTGTCCCCCTCCAATCCTTCTACACAGCTGCTATTTGATGATCCCAAAACATACATCTGACTGTGGCACCCCCTTGCTCAGAACCCTAAATTCCCTGTTGTTCAGTCATTTTTCAGTTGTGTCTGACGTTCATGACCCCATTTGGGGTTTTCTTGACAAAGATGCTGGAGTGGTTTGCCATTTCCTTCTCCAGCTCATTTTACAGATGAGGAAACTGAGGTGAACAGAGTTAAGACTTGTTCAGGGTCACACAGCTAATGTCTGGAGGCCAGATTTGAACTTGGGAAGATGTCTTCCTGACTGCAGGCCCTGCTCTCTATTGCCTTCAGGATAAATGACAAAATCCTTACCCTGTCATTTAAAGCCCTCAAAAGTCTGGCTCCTGGTTACCTTTCCAGTCTTATTCTATTCATGCAAGAAAACGGGTAACTTAGTGGTCAGAGAGCAGACTTGGAACCTACAAGACCTGAGTTCCAGTACCGCCCAGGACACCCTGGCTGTGTGACTCTGGGCAGGTCGCTCTGGGCTCCTTGCAGAGATGATGCCAACTATCACTGTTTCCTGTACCAATAAATAGTCCAGTCCTGATCCCTGTTGTGCATTCTCCATTCCAGGCAAACTGGCTCCCACATCAGCACTCCTGTCCCCCACACAGAGAGGGGATGATTTTGTTTTTTGTATCCTCCAAACAGTCCTTTATATATGTAGCAGATTTTTTTTTTCAGTGAGGCAATTAGGGTTAAGTGACTTGCCCAGAGTCATGCTGCTGGGAAGTAGTATGTGTCTGAGGCTGGATTTGAACTCAGGTCCTCCTGACTCCAGGGCCTGTGCTCTACCCACCATGCCACCTAGCTGCCCTTATAGTAGGTTCTTGATAAAAGCTTCTTGAATCCTTAAATTCTCCCTTTTTTTCTCCTATCCAAGGACAAGGATGAGGGACCAAGTGGCTGAACCATGGAAGAGTAGACCTGGAAGGGACCTGGGGGACTGGGGAGACAAGTGTCACTTATTCTAACCTGGCCCTTTTATAAACAGGGAAATGGTTCAGAGGGATCTTGGCTAATGAGGGACTAGTCAGGTCCCAAGCCCAGTTATTCTGACACCTAATGCTTCTGTTATGAGGGATGTTAAGCTGCTGGGAAATAGTGAAAGGCCTTATTTGTTCAGAAGGCCAGCGACTTTGAATCCAGACCCGTGCCTCAGTTTCCCCACCTGTGAAAGCTCTCTTCCACTCTCAATCCCATGCTCTAATAAACGCCATTCCCAAGGGCTCACTGGCCAGCCTGTGGAGGCGGCTCAGGTATCCCCACTCTCCCCAGCTGGGTGGTGCGGAGCCTGGCGGCACCTGCAGTCGTCAGCCCCGCCCGCCTTTCCCAGGCACGAAGCTCTGGCCTCCTTTCTGGGAAATAATGACTTTATTGGCCGGGCCCGGCCCGGGCACCTGGGTGCCAGATGCCCCCTGGTGGAGCCGGAGAGGACCACACGGAGCCGGCTTCCAGTGCCTCCCTCCATCATCACTCTCTACTCCATCCACGGCGGGGCGGGGTCGCCGGCCTCAGGACTGCACCCCGGCCCCTGCCGGCGGGGTGAGGGTCTCCGGGGCCGAGGCCTTGAACCTCTGACTCTCGTACTGGCCGCTGTTGGCCGTCCGCATGTTCTGTAGGGCCTTCATCTGCTTCTGACGGTTCTTGTCCACTTCTCGCTTAGTGAGGAGGAAGAGAAGGATGCCGCAGGGAAAGCCGATGGCCCTGGGAGTGGAAGGGATGCGGTTCGGCTGGGCCGGCCCCGCTCCCTAAGATCTCCCTCCTCCCCCCACCATTGGGGAGGGGGGGCTTGTCTGATAAGGAGAAGGGGCCGAAGGCCAACCGCTATCGCTCCACATTAGTAACAGTGGTGCCACCTCACCCGCAGACTCGCGGGAGGATCAGCTGGTGACTAGCGTGTACTTGGACCCACTGCACGTGCACCAGAGGGGGATGGGCTCTAGGCTCTGACCCGTGGCACGTGCACCAGAGGGGGATGGGCTCTGACCCGTGGCACGTGCACCAGCTGCGGATGGGCTCGGAGCAAGGAGGCAGACGTGTGCTGGACACGTGGCCAATGCGTGGCCTTTGCTTGATAGTAATAGGGGCTGTTTTTCTTTCTCAAGGGAAATGGGATGTGAGATGGAGATAAGGCATATTTTTGTTGATCGGAAAAATATAATTATGAGGAAAATAAAACATATGTCAAGTGCCTTCTAAGTGGAGCCCTTATTAAGGATCTACCTCCCAGATGCGGAGGGTCAGCGGCCTGAGCCCCTCCTGGCTAACACCCCTTGTCTCCCGAGTCTGAGCTATGGGGCCCCGGGGCTCGCTCTGGGCGCACCCCGCTGCAGGGCTGGGACTCACCACGCCAGCCCTACAGGCTTCATGGGGTTCTTGGCCTTCTTCTTGGGGATGTACTCCAGCCCGGGGGCCAGGGCCGGGGCTCGGGCTTGGACGGCAGCGGGCTGGAGTAGTGCTGTGGCGGGACCCTGCGAGCCGAGGTTCCCTGGAGAAACCCTGCGGATGGAGGAGGAGAGGGGGCCTGTGACCATCAGAGCCGGGTCAAATGGACAGACCCCAATGGGCTCTGGAGCCGGGACCCTAGCTGGGGGGGAAGGGATATGTCATAGGCAGGCGGCATCAGCAGTCGAGCCTGGCCCAAGGGAATGAAAGCAAAGGGCCTCAAGAAGAAGCACTTCCAGGAAGGGGAGTGAAGGGAGGTAGTGTCACAGACACTGACAACCACGTTTGTGGGGGGGGGGCGGGACGGCGCGCTCGGAGACAGGGGCATGCCTACAATGACCCCTGGACAAGCGCCTGCCCCTGACCCCATGATCCTGCGGGGAGGAGAGGGGAGAGGAGGGAAAGGAACCGACGCCCTCGAATCCGAGGATGGAGAAGAAAAAAGTCCCGGTCCCTGGCCACAGGGCCCTGCCTCTTACCCCCGCGCCCCGGGGCACCCTTTAGCCCCAGGCCCTTCAGCGCAGCCACAACCGTCGCCGCCATATTCTCGGTCCTCAAGCCCCGCCTCCTCATCTGCTGGGAGTTGTAGTTTAGGTTCAAGCGCACCGGCGGCGCGGAGGCTGCGGATCCTCGCCCTCTGCCGTGCCCAGCCAAGGGAACGAAGACTACACTTCCCAGAATCCATGCGGAAATCTCGGGAGAACTACCCTTCCCACAAGCCTCTAGCGGCACGCAGGTGAAGTTGTTGGCGTGCGGGGGCGGAGCGGGTTCTCGAATCCTTCCAGCCCGCCCTTTCACCCCCGCGCCGTCGGCCAACCGCCCCTTTTGATTGGCTGCTCCTCCGGCCCGGCCCCTTCGCGGTTGGCTAGGTCGGCGTCGCTCCGCTTTGAAGCACCGCCCCCTGCCCCATCTCGGCCGGACCGTGGTAGGTGGCGTCGCGCGGCCGTGGCTCTGGAGGCGGCTGGGCCGCTGCTGCTGGACCGGCTTCGCTGAGTGTCATGGAGCCCGATCCTGATCCCGGGCCCGAGGACGGGGCAGCCTCCCCCGAGCCCCTGCACTTCCATGGCGACGAGGAGATCATCGAGGTGGTGGAGCTGGGTCCTGGCCCGCCAGACCCCGGTGAGAGCTGCCCCCTCCCTTCCCCCCCCCCGGCCCGCAGAGCGGGCAGGGCCCTGACCCTTGACCTCACCCTGGCTCCTCAGTCACTCCATCGTGGCCTGCTGTGGTGACCAATGACTCCAGCCCCGGGACATTTGCACCCTTGTTTTCCAGGCCTTAACTCCCTTTCCTTTATCCCACTTTCACCTCTGAGAGGTGGTGACCTTTAACCTTTCGTCTGAAAATCTTTGAACTTTAGCTCCCCTTTCCTGTACCCCTTAAATATTCTTCCACTTTTCACCACCCCTAGCTCCTCTTTAGTGCTTCCTGCCTTCATCCCCATTAAATTCCTGTTTCTCCCCTTAACCCAGCCAGCCTTCCCCTTTGCTCCCCCCATTCCCTGAGCCCCCTAATCCTCCCGGGGGAAGGAGGGGGGTTGATTATCTTAACGCCTGCTTCCTGTCCCCAAAGCAGATGACCTGGCCCAGGAGATGGACGGAGTGGACTTTGAGGAAGAAGAGGAGCTGGAGGGGGAGGGGGCTGACGAGGCCTGGGGGGACGAGGCGGACGAGGGTGTGGATGGTGGCATGGAGAGCCCCGACGACAGCGAGGTTACTTTTGCCCATCACTCAGGTAGTACCCGAGGCAGGGGGACCCTAATATCCAGCCCTTTCCTTGGTCTTAAACTTGTCTTGGGAGCTGGGCGGTGTGGTGGGGAGTGGAGACCCCTTCCTGATCAGCTGTCCCTGGACCTTTTTGGTTTGGTAGGAAAGAACAGAAGGGGAGGGTCTCTGCTGTGGGGGACACCCTGAGCTCCCCCGTACAACCCTGGTCTGCCTGTCTTTTTTGGAGCAGCCTCTGTGTTTTGTGTGAGCCTGGACCCGAAGACCAACACTCTGGCGGTAACGGGGGGCGAGGACGATAAAGCCTTTGTGTGGCGGCTCAGTGACGGGGAGCTGCTCCTGGAGTGTCCCGGTGAGGAAGCTGGAGGGTTGGGGGAAATGAGGCTGGGACAGGAAAGAATGCATCCAAAAGAGAATGGAGAGGCTTGTAAGAGAAACCCTAAAGCCCAAACTGGGTTGAATTCTATTTAATCTAGGGGACTGGAAGAGGGAACTTGTAAATTTGGACTTAAGAAATGGGTGGGCCAGGGATTATAGATGCAACCTTCCACTGGCCCCTTTCCTCAGTTTCTCTGCCTGTCACCTGGTGGTGCCAACCCCAGGAGGCAGGGTATCTGAGTCCAAATCTCCATTGGAGCAGATTACCAGCGTGCTGCTATTTCCCCAATATCCCTTTTCTACCTGCTGTCACCTCTTAGGTCATAAGGACTCTGTAACGTGTGCGGGTTTCAGCCATGACTCTGCCCTGGTGGCCACTGGGGACATGAGTGGCCTACTCAAAGTGTGGCAGGTGGACACCAAGGAGGAGGTTTGGTCCTTTGAAGTGGGGGACCTGGAGGTGAGAACTCTTGGCATGTGGGTGGGGTGTTCTCCTGAGAGCGCACTGGGCTGGGAGTTGGAGTGGCTTTGAGTCTGCTCTCTGCTCTGATCACCCTGCCCAAAGATACCCAAGAACCACCTCGTTCTATCACTGTTGTCCTGATAGTCCCATTCATCTACGATGTCTTTGAAGCAGGAAATAAGGAAAGCCTGGTGGGATTAATGGAACTCGCTGAACTCCAGTGAAGTGGGAGGCATGGGGCTCTCTTGGCTAACTGCTCTCCCTCTTTTTCTGGCCCACCTAGTGGATGGAGTGGCACCCTCGTGCACCCGTCCTTTTGGCAGGCACAGCTGATGGTAACACCTGGATGTGGAAGGTCCCTAGTGGTGACTGCAAGACCTTCCAGGGACCCAATTGTCCAGCCACCTGTGGCCGAGTCCTCCCTGATGGTGAGAGCCCCTTCCCTGGCACCCTTTCTGCATCCAAGAGCTCAGGCCTCAGTGTATTGAAAGAGTTGTCACGTGCAAAAGAGATTCGACCCGTTCTTCTTAGCCTCGGAAGACAGAGCAGTGTGTGGAAGTTAGAGAGAGACGGGGAAAAAACCTTCTGAACAGTTAGAGCAGGGGTGGGGGACAAACTGGATTTTATCAAAGGGCCGCACTTGAGGACCTTGAGGGCCACATGTGGGTCAGAGCAAGGCAAAAGGGGAATGAGATTACATTTGACATGTAATGGGTTCTTCCTCGTTAGGCTCCTGAGGCTAAAGTAGCTTGACCATTCGTCTGGGGTGTTGGAGAATGGTCTGCTTTTGGGTATGGGTTGAAGTAGATGGCCTTTGAGGCACCTCTAGCTCTTGGATACTGTGATTTTGGTGCCGGAAGACTCTGGTGTGAGTCCCAGTTTGGTTACGCATTAGCTTACTCATTTACTAGCTTTGTGTCATTAGGCAAGTCATTCAACTTCTTTTTGCCTCAGTTTACTCATTTGTAAAATAACGGATATAAGAATACCTGTATTGCCTACTTCACAGAGTTTTTCCAAGGATTTAATGAGTTAATGTATAAAGTGCTCCGTAAATGGCAGAATACAACGTTAGCTATATCGTCGTTATCATGCTTGTCGTCCACAAACTCTTCTCAGGACAAGAAGCTCCCAACAATCCTCTCTGGGTTTTGTGGCCCTTAGCTTCCATTCTCCAAGGACACAGTCCTCCTACCCTGCTGCATCCTCCTGGGGCAGCATCTGGCCCTGCACCCTATTGTTCTTAACTTGAGATATCAGGAGTGTCTTGAGTGTTTGAGAGCCTGTTTCCTCCCTCTCTGTTGGCTCTGTCTGTGGGGCATCAGGGAGGAAAGCCGTGGTTGGTTATGAAGATGGCACTGTCCGGATCTGGGACCTGAAGCAGGGAAGCCCCATCCACATACTCAAAGGTACAGGAATTACAAGTGCCTTTGGTGGGGCTGGAGGGTTTGGATGGAGAGAGCCGCCAAGTCTGAGGAAAGGGGGTGTGGAGGGGTTGGGGGAGGAGGCAGGCTCTGCCTTATCTTTCATCCCTCTCTCTCCGCTGTAGGAACCGAAGGTCACCAGGGCCCACTGACATGTGTGGCCACCAACCTTGATGGGAGCCTGATTCTCACTGGTTCTGTGGACTGTCAGGCCAAGCTGGTCAGTGCAGCCACCGGCAAGGTGAGTGAGAGAACTCCTTTACGTGGAGCCTGTAGGTGCCTAGAGCTTGCAAGCCTGGCTCCAGTGCTGCCCTGGCTACCCTGTCACCGAGGCTCCCTTTCCCCTGGCCTTTCTCCCCATGTTGGATTATAGGATTGTTGAGTGTTAGAGCTGGAAGGAGCCATAGAGATCTTCTAACCCAATTCCTCATTTTACAGATGAGGAAACTAAGGCCAGCTCATGGGAAGGAGGTGCCCAAGATTTTCTATCTGTGACTTTGGCTCTGGCACCTTCTCTTTTCCCTAGGTGGTAGGTGTTTTCAGACCAGACACTGTGGGTCCACAGCCTAACCCTGGGGAGGATGAAGAAAGTGAATCCAATTCAGTGGAATCCTTGGGCTTTTGCAGTGTGTGAGTGAGCTTGGGTACAGGACTGTAGCAGCTCAGACTAAAGTGGAGGAGTGGATAGGAGATGGGTTGGCAGCAGAGTGGAGAGGAGAGGGCCGTATGGTGGGCAAATAGGCGACTGTACTTCTTCTGCTTGATACTGCCCCTCTGCCCAGGATGCCACTGGCTGCCGTTGGCTACCTTGATGGGACCTTGGCCATTTATGACCTGTCTACACAGAGCCTGAGACACCGGTGCCAGCACCAGGTAAGGCAGCTCGAGGGAGGGGGGGAGGCCAGCTTGAGCATGCCCCCCTACTCTCCCCTCCTGTTCTCACCCCTTCTCTTCCTATGGGGAGACGTGTAACAGCCCCTCTGGCTGAGCCGTGTCTCACGGCCTCTGCTCGCTCTTCTGCAGTCAGGCATCGTGCAGCTGCTGTGGGAGGAGGGGGCAGCAGTGGTGTATACCTGTAGCCTTGATGGAGCTGTCCGGCTCTGGGACGCTCGAACAGGACGCTTGCTGAATGATTACCGAGGCCACACAGCTGAGATCCTTGACTTTGCTCTCAGCAAGTGAGTGGACGTGGGGAGGGAGGGGAACCTTGGGAGTCACGAGGATCCTGGGGTGCCTGACCCCTAAGGGGAGCCAAGCACCCAGCACTATGCCTAAGCATCAGGGTTACAAAGAAAGGTAAAAAAGAAACCCTGGTGGCATAGAGGATAGAGCACCAGGCCAGGGTCAGGAGGACCTGAGTTCAAATCCGGCCTCAGACACTTGATACTAGCTGTGTGACCCTGGGCGAGTCACTTAACCCAATCGCCCCACTAAAAAAACCAGCCCCTGCCTTCAGGGAGCTCATAGTCTAGTAAGGAATACAACATGCAAAGCAAGTGTGTACAAACAAGCTGTATATAGGAAACATTGGAGATAGTGAACAGAGGGATGTCACAAGCGTTAAGGGGGCCCAGGAAAGGCTTCTCATAGATGGAACTTGAAGCTTGTCAGGGGCCGAGATACGGGGGGGAAGAGCTGGGAGAAGCCAGGTCACTGAAGCCATTAGTGCGGAGGACTCTGGTATGGGTGCAGTACCAGCCCCCTTGTGCCAGCAATCATCACCCCCTTTTCCCACCACCCCTCTCCCAACACTCACTTCTCTTTTGTGCTCTTTCTCCACAGAGATGCCTCCCTGGTGGTGACCACATCTGGAGACCACAAAGCCAAAGTGTTCTGTGTCCAGAGACCTGACCGTTAGCAGAGACTCCTGTCCCTAGCTCTAGGCTCTCATTTTATAGGGAGAGGGGGAGATGGAGGGGGGCTGGCTCCCCCCCACCCAGGGGCTGCCAGGGAGGCTGCCTTCTGACTTCATCTCCTAGATGCTGCCATCTCCCACCTTTCTCCATATAGACACTGCCCCCCTCTCCCTCGTGTTGACCGTCCAGAGGGAAGTTCAGTTCTGCAGTTCTCACCTTCCACTTGTGGTGTTCCTTGGGGCTCTGGTTCATTTGGGGGTTGTAGGAGATGAGGAGCAGATCTTTAGAAACTCTTTCCTTCTCTCCCCCTCCCTGCAAGGCCCTCTAGGACCTTGAGATGTGGGGGTGGGGTGGGGGGTGAAGGGAAAGGGGTTATGATTACAGAGGTTTTAAAAAATGTAAATAAAATATGATTCCCAGAGCCCTTGTCTATAGGAAGTTGGGCAGGGAGAAGGGCAGTGGGAGGTATGGGAGGGGGTGGGATATAGGCCCTAACCTGGTGGTTCCCAGCGCTAGGTTGAGGAGGCTGTTTCCCAGGTCCCTCTTTCCCTGGGATCACCCACTTTGAGCAGCATTGTACCGTTTTCTAAGGGGTTGTCACTTCCAATGCTGTCCTTGCTGAAGTTCTCCTGACCCACCCAGCTTGGAAATTCATTGCCATGGATAGACTAGCCTGCTTCTCCAGGTTCTTTGCCCTGAGGCACTGGGGAAGGCAGGAGAGCCTTTAGCTTGGACAGGTGAACATTCTTCAGGACAGTCCAGCAGACAGAAAGATGGGTGGCCAGGCAGCTCCATAGGTGGGAGGGGTGATACCTCGAATTCTCAGAAGGCTTCCAGGGAGAAGGAAAGAGGGGTCAGCGGGGGAGATGGCGCCTTGGAGGCGGGCAGTAGACAAGTGTCATTGGGAGCCTTGCAGCTGGGTCTTGGAAGTTGCCTCAGTCATTTCCCCTGCATGTGCTGCCACCTTGGTCTTGGCATGGGGCTCCAGGTTCAGGCTGGGATCTACGATGGGTGGCTGTTCTCTGGAGTACTCCCCAGAGTCTCAGCAGAGCCTGCCTCCAAGGGGCTGTGTATCTCCGGTCCCCAAGCCCCATGGCTACAGGTACGACAGCAGCACTGGTACTGCCCAAAGAGTTGAGTGCCAGGAGAATGCCAAGTCCCAGAGGGGGTCGTTGCTCAAATGCCAACACTGAGAGGAGGAGTGCAACGATATATGGGCCCCAGCATAGCCCAAACAGTAATGTGACACCTGCCTGTGCCCTTGCTTGGCGCCAGGCCAGGGCCCGTGCCAGTGCTGAAGGGGCATCCCGGTACACTGCCCTCTCCAGGCGACAGATCCTGGAGCTGGTGCCGGGCAGTGACCAGCACCCGGGCAGAGAGGAGGGCAGCAGCCACAACAGAGGGCAAGAGAAGGCCATAAACTTCAAGGTAGAGGTAAGGGGCAGGGAAAATGGCCCGGGATGTGCAGTTGGCATCAGATGCCCAGTGATTCCAGCCTAAGGCAGGCAGGCTGGCAAAGAGCAAGGGGGCAGTCCATGCTGCCAGTAGGGCCCAGCGGGTTCCTCGGGGAGGGCGGAGGGGCCTCAGAATGGCCAAGTAGCGTTCACTGTGCACCAGAAGGAGGTTGGCGAGCAGAGAGAGGAAGGAGAAGTTGGGGGCGAGGTGCAGGAGCAGGCAGGGCCAGTAACCGTGCCTACTCTGATGCCACAGCCCAGGCAGTGTGGGTAGGGCCAGCCCTGTGAGCAGTCCGGCCATGAGCAGGCTTAGGAAAAAGCAGCCAGCAGGAGGGCTTCGGAGGCGGCGGTCTCGGGCAATTCCCACTGCCAGGAGCAGGTTGGCGCCGACGATGAGGCCTGCCAGGATGAGGGAGAACCAAAGCCCAACCTGGAGCAGGGGCCCTGAGTTCTTCTCCCTTGTGGTGTTAGATGCCATCATGATGCCCGGGGCTACAATTCCTGGGGAGGAGGAAGGGGCCACAGATTAGGTTCTGTTGGAGGGCTGGGTTCCTGAGCCAGGACACCTGTCCCCTACCCATTTTTTCTATGCCTTTACTGCCCATCAGGGTAACTTCTGAACCACAAGAGGGGCTTGGAGCTGTGGTAATTACTGTTAAAGTCAAGAAGGGACTGATAAGAAGGAAGGCCTGAATCAGGAAGATGAGCTTGAGGACTGGGGCTGTCCCTGGCACCCTCCCCCTTGCTCCCCACACTCCCATTGTGTCACAGATCATTGAGCAGCCTCCGGGTCGGACTTCCAGCCCATAAACTCGGCTCCGCGATGTACTAGCAACAGGAACAACATAGGGCAGTCCCTGGGGAGGTGGGGGCCCGAAGGGGGGGAGGGAAGAGCAGCAGCACGCGGTTCCTGGGAGGAGACCTCAGAGCAGGAGTGGAGAGGTCGGACCCCCCTGATGTGGCCTGATATCCCCATTTGGGGCAGGTGCGCGGCAGCAGGATGGAGACGGAGCCTGCATCTTGGTTCTGCTGCGCTGGCCAGATGGACGCCTCTTTCTGGCTCGCAACACCTCCCACTTCTCCCTGACCCCATCTCATGTGCTTCCTTCAGATGCTCTAGCCAGGCTGACCTCATCCTGGGAAAGCAGGGACCTTGCCATCCCGGCTCTGCCCAGGACCGAGAGTTCACAGCTGCTGTCAATAGGAGGGTAACTGCGTTGCTGGGAACAAAGTCAATAAAACTAGAGTTTCTATACTCCCCTCATTTCCTTTCTAAAATGGTCCTCTCCCTTTTCCTGTTCCCCCCTCAAGTCCATCAGAGGACCAGAGGTACCCCGAGCTAATGGACAGGCAGGCTATTCTCCCAATTCTCTGCAGCCTAGTCTCTGTCTCACATACACAGCTCAAGGTTCCCTTGTCTTCCCCTCTGGGGATTCCCTGCTAGTGTCAGGGAGAGCCAGGGTCCAGCCCAGGGTCTGGGGACCTTGCGGTGTTACCCACCCCAGGCATGACTTGGCCCAGTTCCCTTACCCGTGTCCCATTCTTTCTCTTCCTTTCTCACTTGGCCATTCATGTTTCTAGCCTTTTCTCAATTCCACCTTTGCTCCAAGGTTTTCCCCACTGAGGTTCCACAGAACCTTCAGGGGATCTTACCTTACATTAAGGTGCGTTACATTCTACTCTGGAGAAGGGAGAGAAAGCAACCTTCTGGGTTCAGATGAACCCACTTTGAGAACACTGCCACAGCCCCGGGCTGCCCAGCCCTTCCCCTGTCACCTGCTCTGATTTCTCTCCTCTCTTATTAAATGCTACCCCAGTGACCTCCCTCTACCCCCTCATCCTGTACTGCCGCCACCCCTCCAAAGGCAGCAGAAAGGGTGGAGATTCATGTGATCTATAGCTGGAAAGGGAATGAGTTCAAACCTCAATTTACAGATAAGGAAAATGAGACTGAAAGAAGGGAATCAATTTGTTGAAATTGTAGAACTGGGATTTGAACCCTGTTCATGTGACTTCAAATTCAAGCAAACTTCCAGCATCAGATTATGAGCTCCACAGACAGACACGGATGGGCTCTGTGCTGCTGGGTTAGAGGTGGGGGTAGCTGGTGACAGTGACCTCTTCAGGATCTCAGCTGGGCCCTGGTTTGGGGTAGGAGTCCTCTCTCCACAGGGGTCTTAGGGAAGGGAAATTGTTACTTACAAGCCTCAGCTGATTGGAGCCTTGAGTCCCGTTCTCTAGGCCCCAGGGTGCTGCCCTGGGCTCCATCTGGCTTGTGGTACCTTAATGAGGACAAACTGCTGCATGCTTGCCTGTCAGGGCCCAGGCTCTGGGCTGTGCTCAGCTGTCTCCCCGGCCCCCACCATGGAAGGAGGGAGGGAAGGAAAGGTCCGCCCTTATGAGGCGGGGTGGGGGGTGGGTTCAAGGGAAGAGGTGGAGGAGGCATCAGAGAAGGATCTGGCATCTGGCTCACCCACAGGGGTAAGGGAGGGGATAGCAGCTGGTAGCTGTCCAAAACTGGACAAACCTGTGAAGTAGGTGAATGTCATTGTCCCTCCACCCCTGCTTAGGGTCCCCTCCTTTCTCGTGGCCTCATTAGCTCTGGCTACCCCTGTTTCCCAGCTCTCTTTCGTTCCCCCAGTCTTGGACTTTTCTGGCCCTAGCTTATGGCATTAAAACCTGTCTTCTCCCGGGCCCTGCCTGAATGCTTAATTAAAAAGACTCTAATTTCAGTTAGGAAAAGATAAGATTTAATGTGTTAACTCTTCTCCCCTTCCCCTCCCTCTGCCCCAATACATTTATTTTTTAGTATCATTACCTTAATCCAAAAGAGTTGTGTAGGGGAGATGTTTTTCCAGTGGAGATTCTTTTACTATCTCCCCTCCCCACCCCCAATCCCACACCAAATGGACCTATGTTCAAATCTCAATTTTGCCATCACTAACTGTTACCTTGGGTAAGTCACTTAAGTAGTTAGTAGAAATATGGTAGCATCTATTAAGTGTTTACTTGCTCCCTGTGGGAATACAAATATAAGCAAGGTAGACCCTTAAAGAGCTTACATCGAACAAAGGAAGACAAGACATGGAGTTGTTCAGTCATTTTCAATAGTGTCTCTCCATCACCCCTCTTGAGGTTTTCTTGGCAAAGAGGCTGGAGTGGTTTGCCATTCATTTCCTTCTCCAGCTCATTTTACTGATAAGGAAACTGAGGCAGATAGTTAAGTGACTTGCCCAGCGTCACACAACTAGTAAGTGTCTGAAGTCATACATAGAGAGCTGCTAGAAAATGGGGGGGTGGGGAGGGTGACCCTTCAGGGGCAATGCCTGAGGTCAGGAGGTGGAGTCCTGGAGTCCAGTGAAGAGTGATGTAAATAGGGGCAAATAGGTGGCACAGTGGATAGGGAACTGGCCCTGGAGTCAGGAAGACTTGAGTTCAAATCTGACCTCAGAAACTTACGAGCTGTGTGACCCTGGGCAAGTCACTTAACCCCAATTGCCACCCCAAAAAAGAGAAAAAATAACGTGAAGCACAGTTGTAGGACTTCCTAAAATGGTGACCAGGGCGTTAGCAATGAGGAGAGCAAAGACTGCCCCTGATGATGGTGCAGGCTATGTTGAGGATGAGGTGGAGTTGAGTGAGAGGTGTAAAGATCAATGAATTTGGAGGCAGAGGCTTGTCTGCTGTTTTCCATCTGGTTAACCTCAGGCAAGTCATGACCTCCCAGCCTCAGTTTCTCATTTGTAAAATTAGGGGATTGGACTAGATGATATCTGAGGTTTCTTTCAGCTCTAAATCTATAATCTTGGGGGGGAAGGCAAGCATGGAATCTCCATCACTCCTTTTCCTCCCTTCATATTCAAACATCCAGGCAAATGAGAGGCCCAGAGACTATGGGAACTTTACTCACAGGGGCGGAGAAAGGAGAAGGGGCAGAACCAAGAGCCCTAAATCTCTCTTCTCCCTTCTAGTCTTGTGTGATGAGGTCTTTGGGGGCTAAGGGAGAGGGAGAGAAAAGCATCTAAAAAATTAGGAGATCAGCTCCCATGACACAGACCAGAGGGAGGCCTACAACAGCAAAAGCAGGTTTGAAACCAGGGGAGGAGGGAGAATGATGACTGACTTAGGTCCTCATACTCATTCCATGAGCTAGGTAGGTAATGCAAATGTATGATGATGCCCATTTTACAGATGAGATTGAGACTCCAAGAGGTTGTGACTTATCCAGGGCCACACAACTATGAAGAATTAGAGCAAGAATTTGAGTGCACACTTCGTCAGGGCCAGGGTCTTTCCCTGTGTCCGCGTTTCTGAAGAGAGACAGGAATGTCATCTGATTTCCTACCTTCTGGGCGGAGGGAGATGTTGAGGCTGGATAAGACCCTGAGAAGAGTCTTTTTAATAACGCATTGTGTTAATCACTGGTAAGAGTTCTCCTTGGGGTCTGGGGATAACTCTAACCTGGAGAGGCAGATGAAGGAGACAGAGGCCTGGACAAAGTGGAAAACAGTTCCAAACATGAATCAGGAAGGAAGATAATTCTCAGACCTTCACCTGTTTTCTCAGGAGCCTCATGGGTAGGAAGATTGTGGGTCTCAAGAGATGTTTACACTCTCCTACCATTGAATAGGAAGGAGATGGTCCTGGGAAAAATTAGAATTAGATGTGGGCCTGGAGAGAAATGTAGGGTATAGGGCCTTGGATCCCAGGAATAAGCAGACCTCCATCTGGTTTCTAACCTTGGCCTCCTGCTGGGCCTCAGCATTTTTTCTCTGCTGTTTAAATACTGTGTGAAGGGTGGTGTAGGAACACATCTGACTCAGGGGGCTCAGAGCCAGCCAGCATGCTTGGGTTCTGTTCTGGCCTCTGTCTGGCCAGACCCTTGACTGGTCATCTACATGATTCAAGTCTCATCCTCTTATATCTTCTGGAACTGGCTCTCCCACCCTTCCCCAGATGAGAGGACCACACATAGGGTTTTTGGTTCAGTACGCTGCTTTCCTCACTACCTACCCTTCAGCCTTCTGCCTCTCCCTGGTTCCCTCCCGAAGTTAGCTGTCTAGATGATAGTTGCCAGAGCCTCTATTCCAGACCCAGGTCTTTCGCTTTCTTCTTTGCTAATCTCTCTTCATTTTCTTAAATATTTAAATTCCTCTGAGCCATCTGGTTAAGCTTGGGGACTGGCTGGGATGTGCTGGTAGTATGAAGGACTCTCAAGGATTCTGGTTAACTCATATTTCTCCTAACACAAGAGGAAGTCCAGGGGGAGGGGTGTAGGGCAAGAACTCCTCTGTTCATTAGGCATTACTGGGTACTCTTCTCTCTTTATTATCATAGGAGAAAACATTCTGTAGGGTTTCTCTGAAGGAGGAACCAGGGAAGAGGAGAGGGAAACACTAAATTCTAGGAGGCCAAGGACAAGCAGAAGGAAGTAGGTATCCCTGCCTGTCTAAAAGGCTGAGAACATTAAAGTAATAAGGTTCTTCTGAGTGATGACTTAGGGGAGAATACTACCAGCTGACATTTCATAGGGCTAAGGCTAAGACTTCACCATTCCCCAATTGATACATGGCTAAATGATATGAGCAAACATTTCTCAAATGATCAGTTAATGAAGTATTCACAACCACATGAAAGAATGATCCAAATGACCAATTATAAGAGAAATGCAAATTAAAACAACCTTAAGGTTTCACCTCAAACCCTGCAAACTGGCAAAAACGACCAAAAATGGAAAGAGTCAGTGTTGGAAGGGTTGTAGGATAGGCTCACTAATACATTAGTGGTGGAGCTGCGAAATGGTACAACATTTTGGAAAGCAATTTGGAATTATGTAAAGCACCATACCCTTTGAACCAGGGACTCCATAAGTGGGCTTGTACCTCAAGGAAGCCATGAATAAGAAGCTCCCATATACTCCAAAATATTTATAGCAGCACTTTCTGTGATAGCTAAGACTTTTTGTTTGTTTGTTTGTTTTTTGTTTTTGCTAGGCAATGGGATTAAGTAACTCACCAAGGGTCACACAGCTAGTAAGTGTTACTGTGTCTGAGGCCGGATTTGAGCTCAGGTCCTCCTGAATCCAGGGCCGGTGCTCTATCCACTGAGCCACCTAGCTGCTCTGATAGCTAAGACTTTTAAACCGAGTAGATGCCCATCATTTGGGAGAATGGCTATATATTTGTTGTACAGGAATGTAATAGAATGCTACTGTGCTATAAGAAATGATATGTGATGAATACAGAGAAGCATGGAAAGAATTATATGAACTGATGCAGAGCGAAGGAAGCAGAACCAAGAAAACAATACACTTAGTAACTACAACAATGTAAATAGAAAGAAACATGATAAAAAACTAAAAAATCAAAAGTAAATGTAACAAAATTATAGAGATCAAACAGATCTCAAATGAAAGATACCTTTGGGGGCAGCTAAGTGTCACAGTGGATAGAGCTCTGGCCTTAAATTCAGGAGGAACTGAATTCAAATCCAGCCTCAGACACTTGACACTTACTACCTGTGTGACCCCAGGCAAGTCAGTTAACCCCAACTGCTTCACCAAAAAGAAAAAAAAACAAAGAAAAGAAAAAGATACCTTCAATGTACCCCTTGGTGAAGGTGTGAGATCCAGAGGTGTTATATATTGCATATTTTCAGACTTTTTCCAATGTGTCAATCAACTATGCAGCCTTTTTTTTCCTCCCTAAAAATACTATATTTCATATGGGATGGTTCTCTGAGAGGGTTTGGTGGAGAACACTTTGGTATATATAGTGTTGTTGTAAAAACAGAAAATATTAATAAAAACTTATAAAAAGGGATAGGGCTTTAAAATTTGCAAATCAATTTTTTACATTAGCTCATTTGAACTTCACAACAAACCTGTAATATATATTACAGGCATTATTATTACTCTTTGATTTTTTGTTTTGTTTTTTTTTGGCTAGGCAATGGGGTTAAGTGACTTGCCCAGGGTCACATAACTAGTAAGTGTCAAGTGTCTGAGGTCAAATTTGAACTCAGGTCCTCCTGACTTTAGGGCCGATGCTCTATCCACTGCACCACGTAGCTGCCCCCCATGTTATCACTCTTTTTACAGATAAGGAATGGGCTCAGAGAAGCTGTGACTTGCCCATGGTCAATCATTCATTAATCACCTACTATGTGCCAGGCATTGGAGATACAAAGACAAAGTGAAACAAGTCCCTGCCCTCCAGGAGCTAACATTCTACCAGGGAAGATAACATATACATAAACGAGTATAGACAAGATATATACAAAAATAAATACAAGGTAATTTTGGGAGGGAGGG